CAAAATAGTCAAAAAGCTAAACGCTCAAGGGATGCAGAAGCTAACAGTTCTCTTTGGAGCTGTGGGACACTGCTTATGAATGTTAATTTATCGGAAAAATCCTAACCATCTGAAATGATACCATGTCTTACTAAATAAAATTATAGGACACACATTGAAAGATAACTGGTTATGCAAAGACAATAAGGAGATAAGTAAGAAGTCAGTCTCTTCTTACTGCTCTCAGGCATTAATACTCAGGAGAAAGTCAACTTCATTTTAACGTGCCAGCAGTAACTGCCTTAACATGTCCTCTCTGTTGTGTTAAGAGTATTGTGTCAAACCACTCCAGACCACAGTAGTTTTCATTAATATTCTTCTCCATTCAGGTATATCCAGGTATAAATCACACTGAGGCAGCAACACAGGGTTTGAAAATGCAGGAAGACCCAGTGACAGGGGTGACCCAGCTGGTGACTCAGCAGGACTTTCCCTGCCTCTTCTCCTGCAAGGGAGGGCAGGAAATTTCAAAAGAATGTGTTCACACCAAACACAGTCCTGAGTTATGATTCAAAGCAAAGTCACACGCCCGCAGACAGTAAGGCCAGCAGAGTAAACCTGGCGGTGAACCGGTAACGCACACAAAATGAGTTCCTTCTCCACAAGAAGCTGGACACTGCAACGCAGCATCCTTCAGCACTGACAATGGCCACCATCGAGCTCTACCACTGAGCCAACCATGGAGGCTATACCATAACTGTTGGTCATTTAAGTATTCCTGTGTTTGACTATAAATAATGTAGGTCACATTTGTGGAACACACTCAGGATAGACTATTCTTGGCAAAGAAAACTCCTACACTCGATCACCAATAAAACCATCTGAAAATAACAATATGCCAAGTGCAAATGCACAGCATCAGACCCCCAGAGGCCTGTCTAACCTGACATCCCATCTCTGATAAAGCCCGTGGAAGAGTAAAAGAACTGAGCACACACACAGTAGATGCACCCCAATAACAAATTCTCAGTCACTCCTTATTTATGGCACAGATCTGCTCAGCCAAATGTGGTGCCTTCCTGTTTATCAAATGATGATGCTTTTTTCTGCACAACATCTCAGAGAGCAGCATCTTAATGCACGGTTCTGAGCTCACCCTTTGGTAATTTGCTGAAGACCCTAAAAGAGACAAAACCAGGTGGCAAACAACCCTTGTTTCACATTCACCTTCTTCATGCACCTGCATCACTCACCATTTTAGAGGATTTCACCATCTCTCCCCTTCCCTTCCCCCCTAAATCTCTCTCCTCTGTGCTTTTTCAAGTGCTACTGTAATTTCTGAGGTCTGAGGAAGGGACCCAGAGCTGCAGAGCACTTCCCCCATCAGCATACCATGCATACGTGTAGCAACGCAACAACGATTTCTGTTTTGATCTCTACTACTTCCATAACAATTTCTGTAGTTTTATTTCTTTGACTGTCATAGCACATTTTCAGATAGCCATCTAACACCAAGACCCTGTTCCTAAGGAGGGGGCTTTGCCTGCCATTTCACTGCTCAGGCACCACAGAATAACAGAATCATTTACAATCGAAAAGACCTTTAAGATCATTGAGTCCAATCGCAAACCTAACACTGACAAGTCCACCACTTACCCATATCCCTAAGTGTCACATCTACACTCCGTGCTCCAACTGCAGGGAGGTATCTAAACCATTCAAGCACTTCCCTGGGCAGCCCGTTCCAATGCTTGACAACCCTTTCAGTGAAGAAATTTTTCCTAATACCCAACCTAAACCTCCCCTGGCCAAGCCTTGACTCATACAACTTATGGCCAACCATTTTTTTTTGCTGTATTTCTGATTATTTAGTTTCATTATTGCTAGGCTCTTCACCATGTCTGCACTTGGTACTCAGCTTCTGAGTATGTTAACAGCAGCAGCAAACTTTGCCACCTGACTCCTCACTCTTTTCCAGATCATTTATGAGTATTTTGAAGAGCACAAGCTCACAAGCCCAACGCAGATGCCTCTGAGCACGCTGACTGACTGTCCCAACGCTACGGTGGTTCTTATGGCTCTACCAAACTCTACTGAAGCCACTACTAACAAGGTCCTAATAACCATGTCTAGTTTTCAGCTATTAATCTAAACCAGCTGAATTGTCAATCACCAGCTCTGTCTTCCAGCCAAAATAATTTGCAGTTTGGCACACAAAAAAGAAATAACAAGCCCAAGAATCGACACGGCGATTTCTTCCAAGTTAAAAGCAAAAGAGCTTCACTTTCCTTCCAACATATGTAAAAACTAAACAGTAATTTGGTTAACCACAAGTATTACAGCCTTCCCATGATAAGGCTAGCTTCAAATCACTGAAAAATAATTACTAAGATGGCTTCTGTTGATTTAAAAGTACACGGTGATTTCCATTTCACTAACTATATTCATTTTGTTGATTCATTTTATACAAATAAAAACAAACCAGGCACTTAAATAACTGTTCTTCGGTGAGAAGTTTTCTGCCAACTGATGTGAAGGGAAAACCACGACTCAGGCAGGAGAGCTACAAATTCTGTATTCAGTCTTAAGGGCAGGGGTTTTGTTCATCTGTGTTTTTCTCCAGGGGTTGGGGAGGAGCTGAGTTTTCCTTGATTTGAACAGTGTTTATTTCATCCAAACCGTTTTCAAGGGGGAAATGCCTGTCTGTCAAGAGTTTCACTAACTACAGTCAGGTCCCAAACTAATTACTTAATGGGAGAACATGTTAACAGTAACTTTTACCAAATACAAACTTAACAGAAGTAGTCTAACAGATAAGTTACTTGGCTAGCTGCAACTGCTTGAATTACTGATTTTAATCAAGTAACTTGAGTTATCATGTAGTTTTCCTCCAATTATTTAGTTTCAGCACTTACCTTTGTTCAAGCTATTCGTCTGCAGTTTAGAACTTTGTAATAGGTTGCATAGCTCATTTAAGGGTTGAGCTGCCTGCACTTTACTTCTTCACTGATTAAAGGGAAATGAATGTCCCAAGAACGTTTAACAAGCCTGTCCATTTTACAAGTAAACCTTCTCCTCCCAAATCATCTCCTGCTGCCAAAAAAGGTTTACCTGATGAAACAAGGAATTAACTCCTGTGAAGAACACCACGGCTTCAGGGCACAGTGGATCTCAACTCTTCCCTTCCCAAATTCCCACCATCACTAGTTATGACAGAACCCAGTGGCACCAGTTTTTGTTCCTTTACTTAGAAGTCTTACATTACCATTTCTACAATTTTCTATCAAGTTTTTTCTACTAGATGTGTCAGCCCTCATCTTAAGGGTAAAAATCATATCATTTACTTCTTTTTCTGATCCCCAGTCTTTCCATATGGATTTTTACATGCTGTCATTACCCCCTTTCCTAATATCTGCTCCTTCTCTTGGGTTTTTTTTAATCTAGTCTGGAGTTCTCTCCTTTTTCATCCTGCTTACCTGCACAGTCAATAACACAAGATGTAATGTCAAGAGCTCCTCTCTCAAGGAGGAACACACAACTCTATCTGCGTGTGAGAACTTGAATTTAGGTTCTTCAAACAAAGCCTGTGTAGCAGTGGGCAGGGGAGGAGGAGCCAACACAGGTATAAAATTTCACACCAATTTTGGGGGGGGGCAGGGGAGGGAAAGATGGCCTTGAAGGTATTTTTTGCCCCTTCAAGAGGAGAACTTCCTCCTCCCTCCTAGAAAGACAGCGTCCTTCCTCTTGCCCAGCCTAGTCCCTGACCTCCCACCCAGGGCTTCCCTACCCTAGGGCACCTCCAGCACTCCCCTCTCCTTTCCTGCTTCCACAAGGAATGTGGAAGCCTCTCCCAGCTGCTGAGCTGCTCCACCTACCACTCCTTGTCAGCTGCCCCTCTGCAGTGCGTACATCTGCCTCCCAGACCCACCTCACGCTGTGCGGAGCGGCCAAGAGGAGCAGCCGGCAGGCAGCAGCGGAGGCGACTGCCGAGCAGCTGCTTCGCGCACAGGCCTGGGACAGTGGCTGGGACAGCTGTTTTTATGATTTATTAAGCTTATTGTAACATCCTATCATTAAGATTGCATTCCAACAATTACCTCCAAATATTTATGGGCAGAGCTACTTGGCATTAATTACTGACTGTTTAAAAAAACCTAAATTAAAATAAATTAAACTTCCGATACCTTGACCGCTATTCATTCAGTACCAAAACCTCCGGAACGATGACTGATAGAGCTACAGGCAAGAAATGGCAAATTCGAAGGTCCCAAAAGGCACTTTTTCAGCTGAAGCTTAACATACTAGCATGTAGTCAAACCTCCTAAGCTACAGAGGATCAAGATGTTTTACCGTTTTTAGCTTTTAATTGAAAAATGATGTGGAAGTAATACATTTCCATTGAAACCCGGATGATCAGAGACTCAGTAAAATAAAACTTCTATCCTATTTGAGATTTCATTTAAGCCCCAGAAGATTTGATTTCAGACTATGATTCACATCCGGTGTCTTCTTCTTGCATAAACTGTTGCCCCATCATTTCTCAGTGGCATTACTTAGAGCTCAAGAAGTTCATCCTTGAAAATTTTTTCACAAGTAAAAATTTCAGCTTTAACTTAAAGCCACAAAACATTCCCTTAGGATTTAAAGAAAACCCTCAGTTTGGCCAAAACAAACCCATTATAACGCACACTTCCTCCTCCCAGTTGCAAATACAAAAATTAATTGTTTAAATGACAATTCTCATACATGCTTTCTATTTTCCCCTCAAAGGAGCCAGCACAAAAAAAAGGTAGGTATTCAGCTTGTCTGGTTGTACCATATTTCGGTCTATTCATAATGTTATCCCATAAAAATTACTGTAAGGACATGAGCAAGCTACCCGAACCTCATTTTCTGTGCACCAAGAAAGCCACGTAACCAGTAACAAACAGGGTGAACTGTTCTGAAACCACAGATCTTGTGTACCCAGGAAGACATTTACAGTAATTTAAAACATTTTCTACTCATTGGAAGTAGCTTACCTGAAGGACAGGCACTTTTTGTGGTGTGTTTTGTGGTGACTGGTGAAGCTGTGCCCAAGGCTGATGATGAGGATGTGGGGGTGGTGAAGACTGATGATGTATCCCTGGATGAGGCTGCATGGGAGGACAGGTTGGCATTTGCTGTTGAAAAGACTGCTGCTGACTAGGAAGCTGCTGGCCAGATATTAGTCGCTCTTGTATTGCTTGTGGATCTGCAAGGCCAACACCTGGACAACCATTTGGTCTCATGTGCCCACCCATCTCCCGCGGTGTCGAAGACATACCCATGAACGGACAATTCTGCTGCATGTTTCGGGGGCCCATATTCCTTTGTCCAATTCCCATGGCACCAGGGGGCTGGTGTGACGGCTGAGGATGGGGTATATTTGGATAACTGCCAACTTCCATTGGTATTCCAGCACTACCAGGCCTAACCTGTGGAGGAGGTGTACCTGCTGGATTACTCATTGCTTTCATAGGTGACATGGGAGGTGGAGAGGCATAAGTTCCCTGAGGCTGTGAAGGGTGCATAGTTTGCGTGTTCATTTGGTTAAGTGAGCCACTAGGGTGGATGGGCTGCTGGTGCATTAGTCCTTGACCACTGTTTGATGGAAATCCGACAGCATTTGGGTATCTTGGTACAGACTGATTCATTGGAGTGTTATTCGTAAGGCCTAAATTCTGATTCATCCCTGTATTATTAACTAATCCCTGATTAAGGTTACTGTAAGGATATCGAGAATACTGCCCTGAGTTGTTTATAGTAGGTGAGGGTACCGTCTGGCTCCGAGAACTAAAATTAAGTGTTTGTGGCCTAACAGCACCCTGCTGGGGAGGATTAGGGGAGAATCTGGGACTGTGGGCTACTGATTCTCCATGGAGAGCAGTGGGGGGATGGTGGTGAAATTGCTGGACTGAGTGTCGCAAAGAAGGTGCCATACTGGGATTCTGCTGGGGCACATGAGACAAGTGGCCAGGTCCTGAGGTGGCAATGAAAGGGTTTCCCTGATTCAGGCCTTCTTGGCCTTGAGAAAACTGGTTCATCCTCTGCTGCTGCGGCTGACCGTGCTGCTGCATTGAAAAATCACCACGAGCCATGTAGTTTCCCATCTGCTGCATGTGCTGAGGATGGCCCTGCCCGGGGGGTCCAGAGGGCGCCTGCGGCGGCTGTGTCGGCTGCGGCTGCTGCTGCTGCTGTTGCTGCTGGTACGGTGCTCTGATCTGGTCTGGCACTTGAACTGCCCGTGGTCCCCACATGGAGCCACTGTCTACGAAGGGCTGCCCGTGTCTTTCATTCTGCATGCTGGGATAGACTCCCATCTGACCACCAGCACCACTGCCGTGAGGAACCTGAGGAACCGGAGGGTTGTGATACTGCGAATGAGGAGAGGCTATACCATTCCCAGGGGCGCTGCTGATCATCCTGCTCGGCTGATCCATCAGGTGCATCTTCTGCTGTTCGTATTGATTATAGTGATCAAAATGGGTCAACTTGGCTTGGTTTTGATTCGCAGGGGGATGATGAAGAGATGACTGTAAAGAGGGAAATCCTTGATCCATGGGCATTTGCTGCCCCATAGGATTTACTGTATTTTCAGGGTATCCACATTCTCCAAGACCTTCCAACCCTTCACTGAAAATATTCCCATCTTCTCCAAACAGACTCATCATTCCTGGATCTGCCATTTTTTCAGCACACAGCTCCTCGGAGCTACAACTAGAATGCTAGTCTGTGCTTCACCTCGGAGAGGTGTTTTGTCCTCAAAGCCTTTAATCCTCAACTAATCTCCTTCATGTCATTCCATATTTCCTTAATTCTTTTGGACCACGCAGTGTCAGGCAAAGTCTGGTTACTGCTCCTAGAAAAAGTGGGGGAAGGGGGAGAAAGAGAGGAAGATATTGAAATAAATAACGTCAGGAAATATAAAGAAAACATACTTGACTGGGTTTTAGACAATGCTAGCTAGTTCCAGCCCCTGGAATACATCTTAAAAATCTATTTGACTTTACAAAGGATTCATTAGCTTTATCAGAAGCTTTATTACGATAGAGAGTTAGGAAGCAAGCAAAACACTAGCCTTAACCTTAAATTAAACCATTCACCACACTTCCTAGTGCTCCTTTCTTGGGTGGAACAGAACAAAAGAACATAACACGCAGCAGCAGCAGCTGCCACAGCAGGTAGGCAGATGTATGAATATAGCCAAGCAGCCCATCTGCCGAACTAAAGCCCTGAAAACACTCTAGTTACCAACAGCATGTCCTTAACCTTATTCCCCTGAGCTGCGTAATCAGATGAGCAAGCAGAAGCACCAAGTCCTATGACAGACTAAAGTTAGTTATACGGACACAGATTTTTCACACACACACAGAGGTGTCCCTTTGAAACACACCAAACTCCAAGACTTAACATTTAGGAAGAATAATAATAAATAAATTAAAAAAAAAAACAACACACAACTTATCCTAATTTAATTAAGCTGTAAACCAAAAGGCATGACGTCTTTCCCCATTTCAGCAAAACAACATGCTCAATTTGTGTAAGAAAATTAAATTCAAAAGCTTCATTCTATGACAGGGCAGATTTCTCAATCCATACCCTAATTTATCTCATGACGATAACAGGGAACGCTATCATTGCAGTTAATTATTCATCTTCAGGCAATCATGCCACCAACTGCAACTACAACACTTTAGAGGACCACACTGAAGTTTTGTTTTCTCCAAAATTACAATCTCGAAAACTCACTCGAGAGAAATACTAATGGCAAAATAATTTAAATAATAAAATGCTAACCTAAAAAGGTACACGCCTGGACTTGGGGAAAAGAGAAAAAAGCAACACACAGTAACAGAGTAGATTCAGAAAAGTTCCCGTTTAGGTTTTTCACAGGAAAGACTGGAACGTTCTGAAACGTGTCCCCTGTCCTCTCCCTGCAACAACTCCAAAGATTTTGTTTGGATTTGCTTATTATGAACAAAACTAGTCTAATGCTACCGTTCCTTCTTAAGATCATAATTTTAAATGCTATGTCTTATATTTCAAAATAAACTTTAGCGTTATAAAGGTTTATAGGAAGGAATATAGAAAGGAAGCCCATCCACCTAGCAAATAAAAACATCTATTTCTGCATCTTTGTTGTAATTTAGTAGTGACTTTACTTGCAGATACCAGCTTGCCCTTAATCGGTGACGAAAGGCAGTAAGATTTACAAGTTTGTACTTTCACATCTTTGCATTCTGTTGTGGAGGAGGGACGCCTTCAGTCTCTCTGGATGCAAAACGCCAGGCCAGACTATTTTAACCGAAGGCAATTTGTCCCAGATAAGTTTTAGGGAGAAAATATCAGCGCATTTATTACACTTCTTGTAGCCACTGTCAAGAGGACCTTCTACAGCATGAAGCAGAGGGCAAGAGGAAAAGCACAAGCATTTATCACTCCTCTTAAAATAGCATTTGAATGTCACCTTTAAAACCACACTCTTAAATCTCTTTAGTGCTCGTCTAGGATATTAACGCTTATATTTCTAAATCACTGGGGGTAAATTCCTGTGAGCCATCTTCACATCTCTAGTATCTATTTCTTTTTATTTCATTTTCTTTATAAAGCAGAAGCCACCTGTAGTATTTACCACCTCAATCAATTTATTAAAGCACAGCGTAATGAAGTTTCAATAACAAGGCGAGAAGGAGCCTCCTTCACCAAAAGCAGCATTCGGCATTAGACTGCTCCAGAGCAGAGGACTGTTGTACTGGATCCCTCCAGTGACTTAAGACTGCTTGAGGACTTCTGACGCCGCTACCTCTGCTGATGCACGTCGCGGTCGGAAGCTGGCAAAGCGGGACGTCGGCGCGTACTGAGAGTCTCCATCTAACGGAACAGCCTCTTTGCTTGGAAATGCTGAAAAGCGCAGTGCACAGACACCGCTGCCTCCCAACCACTGACCAGTCTGGGCAGTATCAAACTGGAGCCAAGTAGAGGATCTCACCCATCAGCTAAACTATTTACAGCCACAGAATTATGACCAGGTAAGAATTTTCACTCATTTTATTATATTAATTATGCCTACTGACAGAACCATTTTTGAAGATGGGTACGCTCTACCCTCCTGAAACACCAACAAAACCTTGCAATAAATACAACTGAAACCTACATAGAGGATTCTCACTTCGCCAACTGTTACAGAGCATCAAGCTAACAGAGCATCTCCAGGAACAGGGTTACAAGCATCAAACACACATCTGAATTGCACTGCTTTGTTTACTGTTTTTCAGCTGAGAGGTTTCCAATAAAATTCAAGCCAGAGTCAGTCACCACTAACAGTCACCATTGGCTAACAGTCATTAGGACCTGCTACGACACCCAGAAAACCAAATTAAAATGGGATAAGAGTTGTATTTAATTAAACACATCTTATTTCTGCCCAGCTGACTCCATCCCAATTTGCAGGTTGGGGGCTAGGGACCATCCCTTACAATGAAGGAGACATGCTATGGAACCTGGGACTCGCCTGGCTTCCTGAGCACACGATCTTCCAAAAGAAAAGTAATCTCTAAGTTTATGATGCAGTTTGTATGCAAACAAATCCACTGTCTAAATTAAGAGTGAAAACACTGTTTGCCAGGATCTATGATTTTAGTTCTGCATTTTTATCTGAAGTGTGAATTAATTTCACATTTAAGCTGTTGATGCTGAAGTTACTGGGTTTGAAAGACAGCATGAGAACGTGTTTGAGAAGATGTCTCAAAACTGAAGTGGTATTTCTTCATATTTAAGTTTGGCCTTAAATTTAATGACCACAGCCCTTTACAGTCAGTTGTGCTCTTGCCAAACCTTCTTCTGCTTCCCCAAATAAAAGTCACACCTCTGATGTGACATATGGCTAACAGCACATGTTAAAGAATGAAAGACAGTAGCAGCTACAGCCTGATAAAAATAAATTAGCCAATGTTTTGATAAAAAAAAAACCAGTCAATACTGGAATTACCTAATAAGCTCTCAACCTTCTATGCTAACAGGATAGACATCTTCTAGATAGTTAAGCAAGTCGTGAGAGTCACAGCCTTATTTTAAGTTACGACAATTTCTTTGCTTCTTTCACTACAAGCAATGTATTTTCTCTGCTTATATACAGAGGTCCAAAAGGAACAAAAAGCTGGTCCAAAAAAAAAATTTTTTTAAAAGCCCACACATGAACAAAGGTAGGATCTGCATCAAGCAAAAATTACAGCTAAAATATTCACTAAGTGCCACTATTCAGTTCCCCGTGAAAGCAGACAAACTAACACCAAGACTGACCATGACAGACTCTTAAAGTCTCTTTTTGGCTTAAAGTCTCTTTTTGGATTAGATAGTTTAAAAATACGAGTGTTTATATCTTCTCTACTATGCTGCAAGTTAAAACCAACAGACATTTATGAAGCAGTGACTATTTTCCAGGTACAAAGGAGAGAATAACTGAACTCTTAGAAAGGCAAATTTGCTGAATAAAAGCGTGAATGTATGAAGAGATTGTGAACTTTTTGGGTTTTTAAATAGTCTTAAACAAACTATACAGATTCTGCTGTAAAATTCTGCAGCTTTTGTATTACTGAACATGAAAGACTGCACCAACAAGAGTGAACTGAAGAGTGAATTAATATATTTCTGTAAGACTGCCCAGACAACCTATTTCTGTTCAAAGCAATGGTATGATCCCAACTACCAGGACACAGTTAATTGCTCAACGACCCTGTTGTCTCAACAGACAAAGCTTAGATTTACTCCAGTCTGCAACATTTCAGTCCTCAACAGCTAGATCTCAAATTTAAGTAGTAGGGAGCCACCGCTCACCTTAGCATTTCAGAGCTACGTGGACTCAGTAGCCTTGGGCAGCTTCCCACTTTTATGAGTGCAACTAAACTGGCGGCTGCATACGCATGATCTGATCTAGGGATCGGATTTTAGTGCGAACACTAAAACCTGAACTTCATTAGTCTTGCTCCCAAAGCCACAGATCCTGGCAGTCAAGACCAGGAAGCAGCAAGGACAGCACACAGATGTGCGTGCCCTCCACAACACCATCCTCACATTCTGCTGTTCAGAAGAACCTTTTGCAAACCAACAGCTTCCTTAATTCAGCTATTAATGCTTCTATACAAGAAATTTAGCAGCACTTTTTTTATGGCCATGCAACAAGCAAAAGGAATAAACAGAAAGTGAGAAGGCAGCTAATACTGAGTGCTCCAAGCTCTGAAGTGAGATGTGTCATGCAGAGTTGATATTTTTACAGCTATCAGTTGATACCTCAGACAAAACACCCAGTAAAAAAGTACTTGACAGACAAACAAATGCAACTATGCACCTACAACACAATACCATAAATACTGCAAACACCACACTATTTTCAAGAACTATGTTAAAATGACCTTTCATGCTAAAAACCAAAGCCATGACAAAGGTCATTTTGAGACTGGAGCCTCAAAATGTGGGGTTAAACACTGGGCTACTGAAACTGCATTTAAACCTTGTGCATATAAACTGCTTTTCAAAACTGCTAAGGCTCCTGCTGGCTGCTAGGCGCAGTAATGTAAGCGTTTGCTGCATGGAAGTAGATGATACAAATGACAGCAATTAAAGTCACATTCTTCTTTTATGAACAAAGTTAGAGGAAGACATTTGTCAAAAACTTCACAAACACATCTAA